TTTGAGCCAAATTAGATAAGACACCGTATGAAGTTCTTAAGGGTAGGACACCCAATATTTCCCACCTATATGTCTTTGGCTGTAAGGTTTTTATTCTTAACATTAGGAAGTCTCAATTAGGAAAATTTGTCCCAAAATTTGATGAAGGGGTGTTCTTAGGATATTCAACTGTGGAAAAATCCTTTAGGATATTTAACAAGAGGATGTATTTAAAGAGCAACCTCTAGGTTTTGAGAGTTCATAATTTCCAAATCATGTTTACAAATAAAAAAATGCCTTAAATGGGTTAAAATAGGCAGCTAGTGCTTGGTATGAGAGTCTTAGCACATTCTTACTAGAGAGTGAGTTTGTTAAGGGGATCATAGACACCACCCTTTTTATGAGAAAAGTAGGAGATTAATAACTCATTGTTCAAATTTATATCGATGATATACTTTTCGGATCTTCTGATAAAAGGTTATGCGATGATTTTTCTAAAATAATATGTAAGAAATTTGAGATGAGTATGATGAGAGAGTTATCCTACTTTTTATGATTTAACATAATATAATTGGATAATGAAACCTTTCTAAATTAATCATAGTACATAAAGGATATCTTGAAGATATATGAAATTGATAAAGTCAAGCCAATAAATACTCCCATGACCTCGAGTGTTCAGTTGGATAAGGACCCAAATGAAAATTTTGTTGATCAAAGGAAGTACATAGGGATAATTAGATCAATTACTTTACCTGACTGCTAGCCAGCCTGATATAATATTTAATATTTATCTCTGTAATAGATTTCAAGTTGATCATAAGGAATCTGACTTAATTGCAGTTAAGAGAATTCTTAGATATATCTTAGAGATCCAAAACTTAGGAATCTGGTATCCTAGGCACAACACTTATTTTGAGATTATTAGATATTCTAATTTTAATTTTAGGATGTAGGATAGATAAAAAGTGCACTTTTGGGACTTGCTAATTCATAAGACAGTCTTTAGTCTCCTGGTCTAGTAGAAAATAAAACTCTATTGCACTTTCCATGGTTGAAGCTGAGTACATTGCCTTAGGGAGTTGTGTGGCCAAAGTCCTTCAATTAAAGCAACAAATATTAGATTGAGGATTACCTATAGGCATAATTTTAATCCTTTGTGATAATACTAGTGTAATCTGCATCTATAAAAATTCTTTCCAACATTCAATGACCAAACATATTGACATAAGACATCACTTTATTAGAGACCATATGACCAAATGAGATATTGAGTTATACCATGTGGTAACTGAGAATCAACTAGCTGATATCTTTACTAAATAACTGGCCTTTGACACTTTTAGTAACTTAAGAACCAAATTGGGTGTGATTAATGTTAAGATAATTGCTATTTGAATGCTTTACATTTTGCAACTTATGTAGTTTTGATGATTCTAAATATTATTGTTCAAATGTGTAGTTATCTCCTAACAATTTTAGAAGATTTATATTTGCTCTTGTGTGTACTAACATTTCAGGAAAAATGAACTCCAGATTACGAAGACTTCAAATAAAATTAAGAATGAGATACTTTGTAAAATTTGAAGTTTGCACTTCTTTGAAATTAAATTGAAAGGGAGTGATTGTAATTGAGTGAATAAAAACATACACACACACATAAGGAGATCATAAAAATTTTATACTGATCGAACTGGACCGAATATCCATTCGTACGGGACGATCAGACAGTTATCTCCTGTTGAGCACATAGAACGAATATGAAGTTGCTTGAAAATTTTTCTAAGTCCTATTCGTCCGGGATGAATTTTATAATCGTCCAGGACGATTGGTTATCTGTAAAATATTTGTCCAGATGAAATTAAATTATCATTCATGGCGATTGGTCCTCTAGAAAATTTTTGTCTAGATGAAATTAAATCGTCCAGGACGATCTGGTCTCTGGAAAATTTTTTCCATACGAAATTAAATTATCGTCCATGGCGATTGGTCCTCTGGAAAATTTTCGTCCAGACGAAATTAATAATCGTCCGGGACGATCGGTCCTCTGTAAAATTTTGTCCAGACGAATAAATTTTCGTCCAAATGATTAACCGACTTAGAACGGTTTTCAGCAGTTTCTAGAACCGACCTTTGTAATAACCGTTCATACCGGACGAACCTAGTTTGTACGGGACGATCAGTTGTACGAAGGCATTTTGTACACATATTCAAATAGGGTCATTTTAAATCGTTTAAGTAAAATCGTCCAAGATGATCCATGATCGTACGGGATGATCCACTGCGTACAGATTTGAAAACTTGCAGTTTTTGGGCGGTTTTTCTTGTCTTTTGTATATAGTCCAAATTAGACTGCTACCCAATCTTTTTGTCATTTGATCTTCGTGCCTCTTGAGAGAATAGCTAAGTAGAGTGTGTGAGAGTGCATTCAAGGGAGGATTTCTACCACTGGAGCGTGAAGGCTTCACTTAGAGTTCAAAGGTAAGAAATCTCTACTTGTGAATTGGGATTACTTCACTCTTTTCTTTCTTCTTTCTAGATTTCTTGTGAGAAGATCTGTCAAGGAGATCCGGTTCTCTGCCGACACTTGGAGAGTGTGAAAGGACGAAGGGTTCTCTGCCTACACTAGGAGAGTGTGAAAGGATGAAGGGTTCTCTGCCCACACTAGGAGAGTGTGAAAGGACGAAGGGTTCTCTGCCCACACTAGGAGAGTGTGAAAGGACGAAGGGTTCTCTGCCCACACTAGGAGAGTGTGAAAGGACGGACGGTTCTCTGCCGCACCGGGGAGTGGTGAAAAGAGTGTGTTGTAAAGGCTTCTCCGCCTTGCTGTGGGTACAAAAGAAAAGTCACTATTGGTATTAGTGCAATACTCAGAGGGTGCCTCTGGGGAGTGGATGTAGGTCTGGTTTTAGACTGAACCACTATAAATCTGGTGTCATTTACTTTACTGTCTTTACGTTTTCGCATTTTAATTCTTAGTCTTAAAAACTCTGTGGTTGAAAAACTTTTTCTACAAAACTTAAAAGAAACAATTTTTATTTCGGTTCAACATAATTTTAAAAGAGGACTTAAAATTTTTTAACTACCAATTCACCCCCTCTCTTGGTAGCCTTTGGGACATTAATTCAGGCTTAACAACCTAATTACTAGACTCAACAATTAACATAAATACATGAACTTAATGCTTTCTGAATTTTGAATTTCATTTTTTGATCTTTTTTTTCTGTTTTCTTTTCTTTATGTTGACTTTAGTTTTATTTAATTTATCATTCTTTTTGAGTCTTTACTTCTGTATTAATTTATTTTTTTCTTTGATAACTGCTAAAATGATATTATGTGTCTTGTTTTTATTTTTAAAAATTTATAGTCAATATTTGACATTCCTAAATTAGTTAAAAGGAGAAACATCATTGATTGTTTCCCTTCCTCTAACTTCTTTTAGTGGTATAATTTTCTTTTCTAAATAAAAGATTAACTCAAATTAACAACTGGACTTTATGATTGAGATCTTTTCTTTCTTGCTATAGTAATCTATCTTATATAAATAATGTTCAAAGTCATTAAATTACTTTCAATCTTTTGTAACCGTGTCGTTGCATTTATCATATAAATTTGATTCATTTTTGTGGTTTACCCTTTCTTATATTAGAGAGTGAGTTTTTATTCTCTAATATCTGGAAGATATTCTCACAACTGATAGTATTTAAAAGTTTAGAAAGGGTTCTAACTTACAAAAAAAAATTTGAATGACAAGGGCATAAAATGAGCCCAAAAAGAAGAAAAACTAAAAAGATGTGTAATGAACGCTAAAAAAAATTTAAAGATATACAAAGTGTATCAAAAATCAAAAGATGAGCAAAGTGCATCAATCAATTGATAAGTGGCATAAAATGAGCCCACAAAAGCAAGCTTCCTTCTCTTTCAAACCTCTAAGTTTTAGAAAAATTCACGTGTCACTTAAAATTTATAAAGGCTTATGCTCAAAATTCATGATTGTGACTAATTACTTTGATATATTATTATATAAGATATTTTTCTGGAATAAAGTTTTGAACGGATCTCTTTTTATTTTCTAATTAATTTTTTTGAGTTAGATCTTTATTTTTAAAAGATGATTTGCCCTGTGAGAAGTTCGAACTAGGGCTAATAGGATCAATTATTCCATCACTTTTTTAGATTTTGATGATGTTAACTCATTGATTCTTACAATTTTTTAATTCAATCATACGAAAAATTTATCATATTCTTGCGTTGATAAAAAAAACTCTTGCTTTCGCTCCTTTTCTTATTTTTATCATCTTGTTTATTATCACTTTTTTATCTTTTACTATTGTTTTTTGTGTTTTAAGGCCTTCTTTGATCATCTCCATCCATCTATAGAATTTTAAACTTTGGTCACATCATCCTGAATGATATTCATATCATTCTAGATGATACATTCAATCCACTCTTAATTTTCCATCTAACGACTGATATGACTTCTCAATTTATAATCGTTCTGGATGATCCAATATCATCTTGGATAATTTGATCGTATTCTACTTCAATTATTTATGATCGTTCTAGATGATACTCCTAATCCTGGATGATCTTCTCAATTTCTGCTCAATTATTGGTGATCATCCAGGTTGATCCACCTGTTTATCCTAGATGATACACGTGGCAAAAGTTATTACACATATTAAATTTGGACGATACGATCCATAATTATCGATCATCCTAGATGATCCACCAAATCATCCTAGATGATTTGCTTTTTCAAAGGTCATCCAGACTAACTCCTCAGGACAATCGCCTATTTCTTATCATCTCAAACGACGGCTGGTCATCTTGGACAATATTACTACCTTTTTGACCAATCATCCAAGACACAATAATTTCACCTGATCATCCTGGAAGATTATACAATCATCCTTGATGATCGGTACATTTCTTTATAAACCAAGGCTTTCAAATAATTTTTTTTTCACCAAACTCCTTGATCAACCTTTGCTCTCACTCTTTCTCTATTTTTCGTGTTCATGGCAGGTGGTAAGCGATCCCGTATGCCTATTGGAAGCTCCTCGTGGGCCAACCTTGACCCTCGTTTTACTGAGGAAGTCGACTGAGCGACCTATTTTTGTTACAAGATAGTCAGGATCACCTTTTCCCGGACAGTTAATCCATGTACGCTTTCTTATCCTATTCTTGACCTTTTTACGCACACCTCTCTAACTTTTATCCTTACCCTCGCCATTCCTTTCAATTCTAAATTGCTTTTCAAATTTTTTTTCTAGCCTTTGAATCAACTTTTCCTTCATGACACTTTAGTCTTATGTCAATAAGCATCCTATTGAGATCACATATCAAGATTATCACGAGCTCCTACAATTGTCCATCACTAGAGACAAGCTTCACATCTTATCTCAAGATCCTAATTTTTACTAGGCTCTGGCCAATCAATTTTTACAAAACATGTTTACTTCTTATCATGATGGGGCATCTAGTACCTTAGCTAAGGATGCTACGATAATCCAACATGTGCTTCAAATATCTATTATTCCTAAAGCTAGTGATCATGTTCACATTACTCCACTCCTTTCAATCACCACTTTCTACATCTTGGCCCATCAAGAATTAAATATTATTGATCTTATTTTCTTCTACATTGAGCACCTCACAAGCATTATAGATTAAGGACATAAAAGGAAGCCTAACCTTACCCTCAGATACCTCATAGCCTTTGTCCTGAAGTCTAATTACAACCTTCAATATGCAGCCCCACTAAACTTTTAGCATGCCTTCTACACCAATAGCTCTTTCCATGTTCTTCATAGTACTTGTCTACACCTAGAGCTGGAGGAAGCTGAGGAAGCTGTGGAGGAGATGGCTCCTGCACCTGTTCCTGTACCTGCTGCTCTGCTAGCACTCATAGCTCGATCAACTGGTGGAGCAGTTCGACCAATGGGAGGCTTGGTTCGACTCCTACATTGTTGCATAGGAGCAACAACATGTAGAGGATGTTGCTCATTTTATCTCATACGTGGCTCATTAGCAGCACCAGCACGACCAGGATATGGCCTAGTTTGGGGAGCAATTTGCTACTCTTTCTAAATTCTTTCAGTCACCACCACCACCACCTCCTTCTGATTATCAGGGATTATCCTCCTTATAGTTTGTTTTCTTGTGTTATTTTTTTGTGATGCAGTTTGTTTCTTTTTGTTAGTTTATGTTTTATTTTTTCTTCTTTTCCTCCTCCGTTTTGTGATGACAAAGGGGGAGTAGTAATAGTATTTTATTGTAATATTTTTTATTTAGTATTTTATTTTTAATAAAATTTAATGTTAGACTGCTTAAATTATTTTTGTTTTCTATCATCAAAAAGGGGAATATTATTGCGAATATATATTCAGGAATTATAAATTTATTAATAGTAAATATTTTTGACACTTTTATTTTTCTACGACTGCCTTACTTACTAATATTTCAGGTCCATAAAGCCAAATTGCAAATCAAGCCAGCTCAAGATTGGGTAGATTAGAACTAAGTCTATTTGTAAACTATCATTAAGTTATTTAGTATGAATAAAGTGGGTTCTGATGCTAAGTAACCTTGCACACACACACACTCAGGGAAAAATTATGTCAGATTTTAAAGTTTTTTTGTTTTTGATCACATCGTCCAAGATAATCCTAAATTATCTTAGATGATCATTTAAAAATAGAAATCCTAATTATGGCATTCTAGTTAAGGCAGCCGTAATTTAGTAAATCATCATGAAAGATAGCATCGTCATGAACGATTGGCTCAAAATAGAAAGAATCAGTCTCAAGATTTTTTTAGGCATATTTTAATTTTTGGAAATCATCTAGGATATTATCCTGAATGATGTAGTACAATTATGGCTAAATTAGTCTTGTAATTAAGGAAAGTAATTAAGGTTTGATTGCCTGATCATATCATCATAGACAATCAGTTAAATAAATCTTAGTTCTTTATGGATGACCAAAATGATATTCTGGTTGATTTGTACTAATGGTCCGGGATAGTTCTAAATCGTTTGGGATGATTAGTTATTTTTCCATTGTCTAGAGATGCAATTATGGCGATGTTCTGGATGATATTTTACATTTTAAAATAATCATCCTAGACAATCGTGAAATCATCTAGGATGATCAGTTTAGTTTCCCATTGTCTAGACATGCAATCCGGGCAATGTTTCGGAAGATGCTCAATATTTTTGTACTAATCATATAGGATAATATCATCCTGGATGATCAGAACAAACAAGCCCTTTAATCTTCTAGACTCTCCCAGATTATCCTATCTAATTAAGACTAATTTATACTAATCATATATGATGATCGACCGATCATCTTGGACGATAATGTCAATTTATTGCAATTAAGAGCAAATCCAAATCTCTTCTATATAAGACCTATTATTTACCTAAGATTGTATCTTTTGCTACTGTCTTGACCTGAGAGAGCAAAGAGGAGAGGGCGAATAAGGGAGAGAGTGTGTGGATCTTATTAGGGGAGTTGTGAGGGGTTTCATAAAGGTTGCTCCAAGTAAGGATCCGAGTAGTCTTCTCCGGTCATTGTCCCTAGTTCTTTAGAGGTTCAAGAAATGTTTACTTCAGCAATTAATCAAGGTTCTCTGCCTACTTTAGGAGGAAGCAAAAGGAGTCGGGTTCTCTGCCTGATTTAGGAGGAATAAAAAGGAGTTGTGTTCTTAGCCTCACTAGTATTGGTAGAAAGGAGGTTAGTATAGGCTCCTCCTACTTGATGTGGGAGTAAAAGGTGAGTCACTGAGTTTAGTGTAATACCCAGAGGAGAGCCTCTGAGGAGTGGACGTAGGTCAAGTTGATCGAACAACTATAAATTTCTATGTGTTCTTTCTTATTGATTTTTCGCATTAAATTTTTGTACTTTGATTTTCTTGTGGTGATTATTGCTTTGATTTAAGATTATGATTTTTGTTTGAGACATTTTTAAAACACCAATTCACCACCCTCTCCCTCTTGGTTAGCCTTAAGCTAGTTCACAAGGGTTTAACATCCATAACGAACTTTTAAAATGATCTTTTCTCATGCATTTATGCTCTTTTTGCAAAGTTAAAAAATTAGTTTTAAATAAAGCATGTAGTTTCTTATACATCCATTATTAAGAATAAATTTGTTTTAAAACTTCAAGTAATTGATCATAAGTAAGGTCATAAACCTCTTCTTAATAAAAGTGATCAAGATCTTCATCAGCCATTAATTATAGGTTTGTTAACTCCTCTTCTTCTTCAGTTTCAGAGGAGTCTGATACTGAGTCCACCCAAAAAGCCTTTTTGATCCTTTTCTTATCCTTCTTGAACTTAGATTTCTCCTCACTCTTCTCCTTACTTTGGTGAGCTTTCATAGTTAGGCAATCAGTCATTCTGATGCCCTAGCTTCCTGCATTCAAAATAAATAACATCAAAAGAAACTTTAGAATTTTTATGGTTATTACCTTTTCTCAATTTTTTATGATGTGTTTACTTTTTCCTTAAAAAGCTGTTGAATCGCCTAGTAATTAAAGAAAAGCCATTATTTTCAGAACCCGAGGAATCAATGTTAGAATCATTAGCCTTTATGGCTACAATTTTCTTTTTTTTTTCTTCTCACCATCATCAAGCTTTCTTTGGTTCACTCCTTGCTCGTAAGCAATTAGTGATCTAAGTAAGTTATCAATTGGATAAACATTCAAGTCCTTAGATTCAATAATGATAGTAATTTTTGTATCAAAGGAAGAAGGTAAATATCTTAGAATATTATTAACTTTTTTATAGTTCATTAGTTCTCTTCCTAAGGCATACAAGGATGTAACAAATTGTGTAAGCCTAGCATACATCCTAGAAATAGATTCACTAGGTTTCATGCAAAAAAGTTCATAGACATGCAAAAAAATGTTCAGTCTAGATTACTTAACTTTGTTTGTACCTTCATATATTATGCATACTCTATCCCAAATTTCTTTTCCAATGAAACAAGTGAAAACACACATATAGTCTTTAGATTTTAAGAAATAGGGAAAATAGTTTAAGCACTAAGAATTTAGTTGTGCTAGATCTCTATCATCAATAGTCCAATTAGCAAAAGAAATTTCAGTTTTAACACCATTTACCAATATAAAAGGAGCAGAATAACCTTCCCTAAAAACATCCACAAACAATAATCAATTGATTATAAAAAGGTGCACTTGAAAATTTTTTAAAAATTAAATGGATATTATAGAGAAGAGGTGGTCTATTAATTGAATAACCTTTCGTGGTGTTTTTCTTTCCAAAGTTAGCCATGGATCAAAATTTAAATTTTTTTTAAAACTTGATTTTATGAATCCCATCTGATACCACTTGAAAGTTTGTGAGGGGTGCTAAACCTTAAAGAAACTAGCTTGAAGCTAACCACGAGGGGGTGAATTGTTAGTTTTATAAAATATTAAGTAAAATGAAAATCTTTTTGATCTTTTTAAATATTTTAAAATAAAATAATAACTCTTGATGTGGAAAAAAATAATTTTCATGATAACATTACAATCATATTTTTCAATCACAGAACAAATTACAGAAATATGTGAAAATAAAATGTGGCAAAAAGTAATAAGAAATAATAGACCAAATTTAATAGTGGTTTGTTCAAATATGACCTACATCCACTCCTTGGAGATTCACTCTCTAAGCATTGTTCTAAACTGGAGTGACTCTCCTTTTGCTCCCAGAGCAGTGCGGAGAAGCACTTACAATTTTTTTCCACCAAAACGGTGAGATATAGGACCTTGAATCCTTTTACTCCCTCTGGAGTAGGCAGAGAACCTAGGAATCCTTTTACTCCCTCTTAGAGTAGGCAGAGAACCTAGATCTAAAATTGAAGATGATCTCCTTGGAGCCACAAAGGAACTAGTGGAGCATCTTGAAGAAGAACACCTTGCTTGGAGCAATCTTTATAATTCCCTCACAAACTCCTCTCACAAAGATCTTTCTCTATAAAGCTCTCCCTCTTCCTTCTCTAAGCTCCCTCTTGGATCAACTCCACAACAAAAGATTATCTCAAAAGATAATTAGAGAGTTTAAATAGAGAGCCTTTAAAAGAAGCACTAATTTTCAATTATGTGCAACTAATTGTTCAGGACAATCAAAGAATCATCCTGTATGATTAGTACCAAATAGCCCTTTCAACCAAGATGAATGGCATTGCTCTGTATGATTAGTTCAAGAGAAGTGGGCTGATCATCCTATACAAATCTAGTATCATCCTGGATGATTAGTATTAAAGTTTTAAACTTTGTCAAATACTATGCCTGGCGATCTCTTATCGTCCCACGCACTTCTCTATCCTCTAATATGATAGTGGTAAATCATCCTGGATGATTAGTTAAAAAAATTATGGTATTCTTCTAGTACGATAGCTTGTGATCCCTTATCATACCAAACATGTTCTCTGTCATCCAGGATGATTAATCGTCTTATACGATAGTTTCAAATTATATTTTACCTAATCACGAGATTAATTTAGGAATGATTATCTCAAATCATTCAATACGATCAATATCATCTTGTATGATTAGCTTAAAATTTGAAAATTAAAATAATTCCTAAATTATGATTAATGACTTTTTTCACGATCTAAATTGATTGTCTTGAATGATAGGGATTATCTAGAATGATTAGTTTAATAACTCTCAAATTTGAGATGCCTGATTAGTGTTTCTATTTTTTATAGTTTATCCAGTACAATTTCAAATATAGAACTCTCTAACTTGCCCAATTTCTTCTAAATCTCAAACAAAATAGTATTAAAATTTATAAATAAAAAAAAACTATAGCTTGAAAGCCAGTAAGCCAGTAAAGTAGTAAATCAATACGAATGTCAAATCTATAAAGCAATCGTTGTATCTATAATACCAATCAATACAAAAATCATATAAAGCATAAATAAAAAACATCGATAAAAATTGTCAAAATCAAACTAATATAATAAAATCATATAGGAACGTACACATGCTATCCATACATTCTATATCATGTGCTCATTATACAACATAGTTAATATCAGTACAGTAAATTAGTAGTATCAAATAGCATTAATATTTATAGCGCTAACAATACTTATTCGAATGATGGTGATATCATGGTGGTGGATTATAGAAACTTGTTAAAACAGCTCCACCTTACTCCTCTAGTGGAATGCTTTTAGTGGCGCCTATTCAACAATGCAATTCCAACAAATGATTTTTTAATGTACCCTAGATTGTTGGGACATAATTTATGTCCTAGAGGATGTAATGAAGTTGAAAATAAGGAGCATGTAATGGTGAATTGTTCAAAGCTAGCTCAAGTCGTTGATTTGCTAAAGAAATGGGGATTTCCAATTCCAATTTTTTCTTCAATCAAAGAATGAAAAATCAACCTGGAACAGATTGCTATGGATAACCAGTTCGTTGCAAAGATATATTATTTAGCGGCATATTTGTCATGGAAGAGTAGAAACTATGTCAAGCATGGTAATCAAGAATTGAGTTTAAACTTTATAGCTTCCAATGCTATTAGTTTTGCATCAATTAAAAATGTTAATCTATTTGTGAATCACTGGGGTGCTAACCAGCTGAATCAGTTGTCTTCTTATTCGCACCCTCTGCCCCCAGGATGGATTAAGGTAAACCTTGATGCTTCATTAACAAGATCTAACAATGGTGGAATCGATGGAGTATTTAGAGATTCAATAGATATATTCTTGCTAGTTTTCAGATTCAATTGCATTCATTAGGACATTGGATTATTGGAATTGATTGCATTTAAGTCCTTGAAGGAAATAATACTATAATGGGTGTTGGATGCTAAAGGGATTATTATTGAAGGCAATAATCACAACATCATCAATTATTTGCAAAAAATATGTGCATAAATTGAACCGAAATGCACATAATGAAGAATGGGAGGATTTTTCATTCTTGGAAGGCTTCGACCAAGTTTTATTTTATTTTGCAAATAAAAATTGTAATAAGTTAGCCGATTATTGTGCTAACCATCCTTTAGTTGATGATTTTTTTGGGAAGATTTGAGTAATGATATGATTCCTCCTTCTTTTCTTAACTTGTTAAAGGTGGATTGTAATAGATTTTCTATCAAATAGTAATTTGTAATTGTTTTCTTCTTTATTAATGAATTTGACATTTCTTTAAAAAAAAACAATAATAATCCAATGCCATGAGTAGTAAAATAATATAATAATAGTAAATCCATGCAATAAGATTAAATTCATATAATATTTAAAAAAAAGCCTCAGGAATATGTATTTCAATAGTCACACTAAATAAGTAAGAAGTCTTAGCTATCATAGTGTTTTTTAGTGTTAGTAAATTATTGGCTCAGTAAATAAAGTCGTCACTCTTTTCCCATCGGTATAGTAATGATCTTCTTATAACTCCTAATCAGTGTATCATATGAATTAGTATAGAATAATACCAAACCAAAGTATTTAAAGAAAAGCTCATCGGCTCACCATCTTATACAGGTCAATAAGTCTCCAATCAATGGATCAACCAGTATTTACATATTTGTTTCAAACATGAACATTATTATCACAATATTATAATAGTAATAGTGACCAGCTATTACTCAAGAACATATCCACATCCATTATTCAATGTTTTGCATCAAAAAATGTATATATTTGAGCTTAATTAAGAAGATGCCAAAATATCATAATGGTAGACAACAAAAAATCCTATTAGGCAAAAATGTACCTTTCAAAAAAATTACCAAAATACAAGAAAATATATAAAATGATTTTTAAGACATTTATTATACTACATTATTATATTTAGACATCAAAATAAAATTTTGAGTAGACAAAAATCATTATACTTTCAACCTCACATGGTGAAAAATTTTAAATAAATACTTTTTGACTGGATCGTCCTGGCCGATCCTGCGATTGTCCAGGACGATATGATCGTATCAATCATCCCTAATTACTCCCTTGATTTCTTGATCAATTAAGGCATAATTTGTGAATATCGTCCAGGCCGATCAATGATCGTCCTGGCCGATAATTTAAAAATACAGTATACCTTAATTATCTATGGAGGAAACTTCTTTCTGTTTTGAGCTTATCGTTCTGGCCGATACACGTATCGTCCAGGCCGATATGTTAATGTCAGCTGCCTTAATTAAGAATCCTGATTAGAGTCTCTGTTTTGAACTCGATCGTCCAGGACGATCCAAGGGATCAGCTTGGCCGATGTGAGCAAAAATAGAGATTCTAAATCTCTCAAGTGTGTGTGTAGGGTTACTTAGCATCAGTCTCTTTGACCATTACAAGTAGACTCAAAAGTGAAAAACAAAAGTACAGACTGACTCAACCCTAAACCTACGCAATCCTGAACTGGCTTCGTCTTGATCGTCCGATCTTTGATTCTTGAAAAGTTAAAAGTAACAAGCAGTCCAAGAGAAATAGTGTTTGTCAATCATCAAAACATAAGCCATGAAAATAGTTTTCGCAACAGCAGAAAGACATGCAGTAAGAGTAATGGTAAAGAAACAAAAATTTTTTACTATCATTAAAATCAAAGTACTTGGATCTAAATTTACAACATTAGCCTTCTAATGATGATGATTATGATCAATGAGTTTAGAGAGGCTTCCTAGTTTAAGATTACTATATGTCATATTCAATGACATAAGCTATAAATATCTGAATGTTTTATTACCTGTGGAAATGATTTGAGTTTTAGAGGTTAGGGATATTGAAATGTCGTCAAACTAGTTTAGTTGATCCTAAGGACATGCCTAATCAATATGCAAGTGATAGATCATGAATCCTAGGTTATTTGAATAGGTTTCAGGGTGATGAAAATTTTTCCAAAAAAAAAAATAATGACCAAGGGGTCTTGGGTTTCATTTAAACTCTGAACTTTCTAGTTTTGAATTATCAACAAGTATTGTCACTGGATTGGATTTAAATTTTATTTAGTCAATGATATAGAGGAATTTTCTATTTTTGGAATGCACAAAACATTGGCAATCATCAATGATTGTTAATGATTTGTGCATTTCAAAAATAGAAAATTCCTCTATATCATTGACTAAATAAAATTTAAATCCAATCCAGTGTAATCATCAATGATTGTTAATGATTGAATATCTGATCAAATGACATTACTGGGGACTATCAACTGATGAATTTGATGATTGATTTTTTACTTGAGTTTTGAATTGGTCAATGAAGGTTCATGATCGACCGGGTATTAGTTTTGAAATGATCAAATCACTAACAATCTTGAGGTAATTATCAAGTTACAGATCAAATGATAAATCAATGGTGATTGTCAATTGATGATTTTAGAATTAGTGATGCTAATAACAAGGTTAAGGCATAGTGGAGAATTAGATTTAAAGTTTAGAGTGTTGTTACATGAAATGTGCATGGAGATTAGATTTGAATTTAGATAATTCACCTCACCCAAAAATGAGGCAATATTATGTATAAATCTTGACTAAACTCAATCATTTTAAACAATTTAGAAATACTTTATACTTTTACTCCTATTAAATATTTATTTTTAGTACTATGTAGTTTAATTTTTGTTTAGATATAGTAGTAGATATATTTTAGAGGTAACTAGTCCTCACAATCTTATGATTTATTTTATGAGTTATGTTGTAAGACTTTCCAGCATCCTCTAATGAAATATTAAACTTTCTTTGTTATATAATTTATTTAGCTCTATTGGTTCTAATAGTTTAAAATAACGTTGGATTGTTGAAACACTACAGGAAAATCGTCTATTACCGGAGGATTTTCTCGCGACTTTCCCGTGAACTGATTTCCGGCCGATTTTTCAGCGGTTATCTAACGGATCATAATGAAATATTTCCTTTTTGCAGATTTTTCTGTGGATTTTCTAGTGGATTTCCAACGAATTTGTTTCGAGTGGATTCTAATAATTTCAGAAAAAATATATTTTTTGTGATTTAAATAATAAATAATTATATAGCTCATTTCTATAAAATAGTAATTAAATAATTGAAAGTTCGTTAGGGATGTTAGGCCCTATTGAACTAGTCCCAAAGCTAATTAATAAAGTGGTGAATCGATATTTTAAAACAAACACAATCCAAAACCAATATTCACCACAACGAAAAACAATGCGGAAGAAAATAATGCGGAAGCAATAATAAGAAAAGAACACACCGAATTTATAGTGGTTCGGTCAAACCTTGACCTACGTCCACTCCTTGGAGGCACCCCCCAAGTATTGCACTAAACTAGTGTCTCTCCTTTAGCCCCCACAGCTAGGCGGAGAAGCCCTTACAAAATCACTTCCACCTTCCCCGGTGCAGCGGAGTCGCCGGGTCCTTTGACACCAAGGAGATCTTCTTCTTTGGTGAACTTACCTCGAGACAAGCCTTGAATTCGATGGTACTAAGGTGCGAGTTCGCCGGAGCAACCGTGTGGAACCCCCTCCACACTCCCTTGAGTCCCCCCTCACAAGATCTTCTCCCTCTCTCAAACTCCACCCTTTCCTCTCTCCCTTTCAAGCTCTCTCTTCAAGTTTCCCCCATAAGAACGAAGCTATAATGGATGCCGAAGACACTTACAAAGTGCCTTGCCGTAGCTTAAATAGAGGCTCTCAAAACGAGCTCATTAATGCAAGTTGCCGCTATTATCGTCCAGGATGATAGCCAAATTGTCCTGGCCGATTAGCACAAATATGAGGAAAATCGTCCTGAATATCTCCCTGAAATGAAGCTGGATGATGTCTAATCGTCCCGGACGATCGTGAGATCGGCCTGGATGAAATTCCCATTAAATGCTTTCCAAAACTGCTTGAGAAATTTTGGAAAAATTGCTCTGGATCGTCCGGGACGATATTTTATAGTCCAGGCGATCCACCGGGACGATGTCCAAAAATAAGATTTTTCTAAGTAGATCTGGCATCAGATTCTTGCTGTATTGAGCCGATCTTCATGGCCGATACAAAATCGTCCAGGACGATGTGTTTTGCAAAAAGACGGCTGCTTTAAAGAGGATGCCCTAATTAGGATTTCTACTTTTGACAGATCGTCCAGGACGATATAAATATCATCCCGGACGATGTTACCAAAAATAGAAAACTTTTAGGGCACAATAGAAAATCTTCCAAGATACAAATCATCAGATGCCACACTAAATACAATAGACTCAAGAAAGGAAAAAGATTACAAACTGACACAGGCCTAGTCTATCCAATCTTGAGCTGGTTCCAGATTGCAGTCTGATAGTGTGGACCTGAAACGTTAGTAGAAAGAAGTCATAGAGAAAAAGAATGTTTGCTATCATCAAAATCATAAGCCATAGATCCGCAACAATAATTATATTAGTTAATTTTTAATTTATTACCATAGTTTAATTAATTATTAATTTAACAGCTTATTTATTAACTTTAAAATTTTTGTTTTAATTTATTTTAAATTTTAATACTTCTAAATTTATTTAAATAAAAAATAGATAATATTACAACACTTTTTGCAGTGCAACAAAGAGGAAGACTCTTTGAAATTATTTCAAGAGGTGGGGAGTTCGAATCTGGTGGGGAAGCGTGGGCAACGTTCCCGGGAAGGCGGGCCACGGACGAGCCTGCCGAGCAGAGTTGCTGGCTAGCTGGCAGCATGTGCTGGTGGGCAGTGGCAAATGTTGCGGGCAGGGTAGACGGGAAGCTAGCTTGTTGTTATTTTTTTAATGAATCATGTGAAATTTCTCCCCCGGATAGCTACTCGAAAATTTTTTTGATGGCAAAATTCAATCAAAAAATTTTTTTGGAGGATGTTTTTTTTTTTGTTGGAATTTTTGCAGACGCTCATTTTTCTGGCAAAAAAATAGTTTCAATAGTAATCTTCTGGGAAACTTTTAAATTTGACAGAAAATGAATAATTTTTTCGCCAAAAAATTTGCTAGTAATTCGTGATTTTCCTGTAGTGAAACACCAGTATAATGATATGTTGAGAGAGCTCAACAACAACAAATCCATCAATCCTTTATCTCGCTACATGGGACTGACTAAACGAATCATTTATCTCCATTATTTTTTATTATGAGTAAAATTATCATTTAATAATTATGAATGCTTAAACTCGTTCGTAATGTTGTTAACAATATTTTAAAAAATACAATCTTGATTTTATTGAAAATTTATGTTAAATTTTATATTTATATTTTTCCATATTACTTCAACAACATTATAAGCTTCATAATGAAATTTTAAAAATTTATATTAAAATTTTAGGTTAACCATATATTGCTATTCTTATAAAGAGCTTGTTATTCTTATAATATATCAACTTTTCAATTTTATAGACGTGCTCAATAAATTTATTTATTTAAATAAAATTATTATTATTATTATTATTATATTTGCTTCTTTAAAATTACATATCTTCTAAATATATTAAGAAAAAAATTCTCATGATAATTTGACTATTTTTTATTATGATTAATATTAAAATCTTTAACTATCTTTTGAGATAAAAATTTAATAGATAAATTGATGTTTTTATTAAAATTTATTGATGTATTTAGTATACTTTATTTAAATAAAATTATTATTATAATTATCATCTTTGCTTTATGATCCGACATTAAATTACATATCTTCTAAAGATATTAAGAAACAAATCTGTCATGATAATTCGACTCAATTTTTTATTATTACTATCTTTAAATATTTTTGATATGGATGTAATATATATTATTTATATATTACACTCATATGAAAGCACATGCAAAATCATAAATTTCAATCATTATCATTTTTTTTAAAAAAAATATTCTAATATAAAAATTTCACCATTTTATCAACTTAGTCTTAATACCACATTATTTATTGTTACTTGTTTTAAATTTGGAATATAATTATTATTATAATTATTTGTAGAGGCTGAATCGGCGGATGGATCGGCCACCTATCAATCATATTACTCCCTCCTGGGGATCCGCCGCAACGCTTCCCTCGCCGAAATCCGCGTGGCCTACAGAAAGCTTGCCCTGGTAAGATTCTTCCATTTCGTTGCAATCTATAATTTTCTGCTATTTCTGGTGTTTTTTGCGAAATACTTGACCTTAAGAATGTTTACAGAAGTGGCATCCGGATAGAAGGGGTAAGGATTCACCGGAAGCGGCGGGGGAGGCGAAATTACGGTTCCAGAGGATCCAAGAAGCATATTCTGGTAAGTATCAACTGATGTGATCCTCCGTTGGAAGTTAATGTTTATTCTTAAGGCGACGCATTTTGGTGTTACTGCAGTCCTAGCGGATAGTGGGAAGCGTGCGATGTATGACGTTGGGCTCTTCGATCCCTTTGATGATGACGATCAGGTTCGAGGATTCTTGTTGTTAGCTGTTTTATTAGCGCCTAATTGCATGCATGATTTCTTGTCGGTAGACAATATTTATCTAGGTTTTGTTCTGCGCCTCCCAGGATTTCAGCGATTTCATGGGGGATTTGCTGTCAATGATGGAGTCTATGAAGCCCGAGGTTGGAAATGCCGATACCACCCTGCTGCCATGGTGGCGTAGTGATTTTTCTCGGATATTTTTGGTAATTTTTTATTTTATTTTATTTTATTTTATTTTTTTGTTGCAGAAGCCGGATACCCTAGAAGATCTTCAGAAGATATTTAATGAGATGGTCAACGGGATGGAGATGGGACTAGGGCCGTCTTTTGGACGGAAAAGGGCACGTGTTGAATGAATCTCGGCGAAGCGGTTGGGGCTTCTTCTCTGCTTGATGTGGGCGAAATCGTGTGGAAGTGTTAATTGTGTTGAATTGTATTCACTAGTGACTCGGTTTAGTTGAAAAATTAGAAGTAAAACACTGGTTACTCATGTTTTCAATTATTTCTAGGGATTATTTTTGGGTTAATTGTTATGCAACGTTTGATTCTTCTATTATTTGTTAAATTAAGGAATTTGAAAATGAAGTTAGTTGAAATTAGTAGATTAAACATTTAAATTAGTTTAAATTATGTTGGATCTGAACATTTCTGTGAGTGATAAAAGCGTTTGGGCATTACTTAAGTTTGTTGGATTTCGAAGAAATTTGTAATGACGTCATTCAATTGTTCGGGCAAATAGCTTTATGTGATTTCATTGAGGATGTTGAATATCAAGTAACTGTGGCGCCTTTAAATGTCGAGTAAAGGCTATGTTAAATGGTTTTGGTGATCAGAACTCGATAAATAGATTCCTACTTTGAACCCACCGCGGGGTGGTCTGGTGGTGGAGAACTGGCTGGTCATAGGTCAGGTACCGAGTTCGAATCCCCTCGACACTTCGTGCAAGCCTTAAGTGTTGGCCCGTGTAAATTGGCATGGGTTGCATGCTAGGTCGACCGGATTATCCCCTAACCAGGATAATCCGTTTTATTATTTTATTAGATTCCTACTTTGATGAGATTCAGGCATGCGTTGATGATAATCTTTCATACAATGACTTATTTTTGAAAATTACTTTATTTTCAATTAATGAGTTTGCTTGAATTTGATCTGTTTTGATTAGGGAGTTCTGTCTAGCCCATGTAAGTTGAATTTTAATGCAATGGATTTTAAATTTGATAGAACTGCTAGAGATCTTGTAATATAAGAAAATTTCTCATCCTTTAATATAATGATTTCCATATAAATTATGAAAAGCTTCTCACTCCAAAAGATAGGTACTGTACGTAGAAAACTAATGGCATGCATTCAAATAATAATAATTGAAACTTTCTCATTTCTTTGATCTCATGAGTTGCTATTAAAGATGATCAGTCGCACCTGTATGTGGTGGAAAACTGACTGAGGATGATACCACTGATTCAATTCATTTTCGTGCTAGGTACCTTTTCCGAGAAGTAGATGCTCTTTTACAACGGTTAATTTATCCGGTGATTCTTAAGTAATAGCATTTAATATTTTTTTATTGATATTGTTATAATGAAAGTTTTTTAATTATAATAAAAATTTGGTCAACACAACCTCGGTCAACTCAAGCATACACTCATTTTTTTAGTCAAACACCCACGCAATTGCTTTAAAGCCATAGCATTCCATCTAAACTATTGACCACTCTCTTAGAGTCCACCAAAGCAATTGTTGACTGTTTAACCAATTAAAGAGTCAACAAATACTCAAATTAATCTCAATTGTAAAACTAACCTAAATACCCTACTTCCCTCCAAACCAGCAACCCTAGTTTATTCAAATGCATTTTATTACCATACTAAGCATCCGCTAAGCAAACTCCAACAACTGGTTTTGCAAAAATTAGCTAAATGGTCTGCCTCATATGAAACAACCCCAAGGTCTCCTTCACCTTTGCCAGACCACTCATCTGCCCTCTAACAACCTAGGATAGGTGCAAGGCATCCAAGGAGTCTATCTGAACCTTCAAAGCTAAGGGTGCAAAATAGGTCCGCGGATCAGATTTGAATTTAACCCGGATTGACTTGGGGATAAATGGGTTGACCCTATCCTGTCCCACATCTAAAAATGGGTCAAAAAATCCAACCCAGATCTGACCCGTGTGGATTACAAGTTGACCAGGCCCGTGAACCCGGGGACAAGTCTGCAAACTTTATTGTTGGAGGAACTTTGAAGGCGATCTTTTGGGTGTGGGGGCGGCTCAACCTGGCAGACGGCGGAGGAAGGACTTTTGCTTTGATCTCTTTCCCTAAGCTCTCCCAAGCGGAAAAACTTCTTGTGAGAGCTCTCCCCACCTTCTTCCATCTTTCTCGTCCAAAGCCCGCCGTCAAACCCTCGCCGGCGGCGAGTTTCTGGCGAACCCGAGGGCTTAAACGTTCCAAAGCTTCCCTAGCTCGATCCAAAGCTTTTTGAGGCTCAAGTTCAATAGGAGAAATATACGATGACAGTCTACAAGCTCAACCATTTGAAGATCTCCTAAATCCATTTGTTGGATTGAGGTAAAATAGAAACCCTAGTTAGATCACTTAGGGTTAAATATCATTTTGTAAAGTGCATTTTAGATTAAAATATCTATACCCCATGAATGCTCTTCAAATTTATGATTCATGTTTAAAATTTCACATCATTTGGTCCATCCGATCTCAAGAACGAAGCGAAAAATGTATTAGGGCGTCATTTTACGCTCTATTACGGGCTTATGTGATATGGACTGTTGATCATGTAATCAACGGTCGAGACCGCATCTTTCCTCGGTCTCGATCGACCTTGGGGATCAATCCCGTAATCTCGCGCGCGTTCCGACGTGGTCAAGCTATTATTACTATTATTATTATTATTATTATTATTATTATTATTATTATTATTATTATTATTACTAATATTAGTATTATTATTATTATTATTATTATTATTATTATTATTATTATTATTATTATTATTATTATTATTATTATTATTATTATTATTATTATTATTATTATTATTATTATTATTATTATTATTATTATTATTATTATTATTATTATTATTATTATTATTATTATTATTATTATTATTATTATTATTATTATTATTATTATTATTACTAATATTAGTTTTAAACATGA